GGGGTGTGTGAGTGTGATGGGTGAGGGGTTTCTCCCCCGGGTGTGTGCGGTCCTGTGCTGTTTTATTTTGGCATCGGCTGTTAAATGGGGTCTGTTTTGTAGTGCCGCCCTCTGGGCATCGGCCTTCTTAGAGATGTATGTCGCCCAGAGGTACCAGGTCAGGGCGCACTGCTCCGGGTGGCCCTGCAATTCTGCAGTCAGGGTGTCCATAGAGTATATTTCCTCAACTTTTGCTACCAATTGCTGGAGGGTAGGCGTCCCTTGTTATAGGTTTATACAATCCCTTATCCTACATAGCTGGGATAAGGGATTTAGCAGTGTTAAGCAGGGGGAGTGTCAAGGATTTTTTATAAGTTCTCAGTGGTTGGGAAGTGTGGTGTAGTAGTATAGTCAGGGGGTTCAAGGGGATGTCAGTCCCTGTGATTTCCTGAATCTCTCCTCGGATTTTTTCCCAATAGGGAGCTATCGCTGGGCACGTCCACCAGATGTGATAATATGTTCCAGGGTGGGTACCGCATCTCCAGCATGTGTCTGGTGTATTGGCGTGTATGTGATGTATATTGTCAGGTGTCCTGTACCAGCGTGTGAGTAGTTTGTAGTTTAATTCCTGGCATTTCGAACTGATCGAGCATTTGTGTGTGAGGGTAGAGATCTTGTCCTACTCCTGTGAGGTATGTATCTGTCCCATATCATCCTCCCAATTACTTTTGTACCTCACCCACGTGTCTCCGCTAGTTTGCGTCATGAGCATGGAATAGAGGGATGAGATGCCCCGGGTAAGGTGCGTTCGGTTTGCGCAGAGGTGTTCGAAGCTCGTGAGTGGTCGTGCCAAGTGCCTGAGCCCCGGCAATGACTGAAAGTATGCCTTAATTTGGTGGTCTCTAAATTGTTCGAGTAATGTTGGCGTTCTGTCTGGGCAGAGCTCATGGAGTGGTTTAAGACCTGTTGGGCCGTACCATTGGTGCAGGTACATCCAGTCGGTCGTTTGGAAGCCGGACGGGTCGTTACGGGATAGAGTGCCCGCTAGGTCCGGGTTATGGGTAATGGGTGTTAGGGGATTGGGTGAGGTGGTTAGGCGTAGTCGGTATCGGATCACCATCCGCTTTCTCAGGGTGGCATCGATCAAGGGGTTTTTAGTTTGCAGAGTACCGTATGTGGCGGTGTTCAGCCATAGTCTGGAGGGAATGTTTCTACCCGCATGCTCCCGTTCTAGCGCTACTCATTGTTTTGAGGGGTGTAGTACGTGCCAATCAATTATTCGGTGCAGATGCGTGGCTCAGTAGTATGCCTGGCTTCGAGGGAGAGTATGGAGAGGTCTTGAAAAAAGGATACTTGGGCCCCCGTGAACATTAAATTCTGCTGTGTCTGTGCTTCTTTCATTATCGTGTCTTTTACGGCATAGGATAGTAAGCAGCAGATCACGTCTCGTGGAGGTCCGTCATTAGTGATGTCGCGAATTTCGGCGAACGCGAATTTCGGCAAATGTTCGCGAACCCGCGAACCGCCATAGACTTCAATAGGCAGGCAAATTTTAAAACACACAGGGACTCTTTCTGGCCACAATAGTGATGGAAAAGTTGTTTCAAGGGGACTAACACCTGGACTGTGGCATGCAAACTCCGATCCGCGGCTGCATCTTGCAGCAGCTTAGTAGATAACTCCCTAATTCCCACGGTATTAGAGAGCTATCTACTAAAAGGCTGAAAGACCTAAATTGGTCTTTCAGCCACATTTACTAATACTAAGTAAAGATTACTTAGTATTAGTAAATGATCTGCCCCTACTCGCTATGCAGCGAGTAGGGGCATGTCTAGTAAGCAGTGAGCAGCCAGTGGCTGCTCACTATAAAAAACAAACAAACAAAAAAAAAAAAACTATTAGCTCCCACCCCTGTGCAACGGGTGGGGGCCATTAATTACAATGGGGGGGAGGCCCTACTGTCCTCCCCCCCGGCCCCCACCCCTGCACGGTGGGGGGGGGCCATAAAAATAATGAGGGGGCCATAAAAATAATGAGGGGGGGACCTACTGTCCTCCCCCCCGGCCCCCACCCCTGAGCGGTGGGTGGGGGCAAATAAATCACAATGGGGGGGGAACCTAAGGTCCTCCCCCCCTGTCCCCCACCCCTGAGCTGGGGGCCCTAAATACTAAAAAGGGGGGGGGACCGCCCTGCAGAGCTCAGTCTGCGCGGAGCCCTCGCCGGGTGAAGATGGATTATTTTTTTTGCGCTCGGTTTTTTTGTTTTTTTAATTGCGTCGGTTATTATGGTTTTTTATTTGGCCTTTTTTTGGGCTGAAAAAAGAAGATTTAGAAGAAAGAAAACATTGAATGGTAA